AGGTCTTCTCATTCAGTATCTGACCTCACAGATGGGTACAAATTTCCACAGAGACTCTCCAAAATCCTGGAAAGCCTTCCCAGAAGAGTGGAGGATATTCTATCCACAAAGGCTGCCAACTCCATATCAATGGCTATGGTTTTGAAATAGGATGTCCAAAAAACTTCTTATGGTGTGATGGTGATGGGTCCGCCAGCTTGGATTTATAGTGTATAAAGATGCCGTAGCCCATCTCATCTGTTCTATAGTATATGATCAGGACCATTCAAGACCAGACAATTATTCTCCATTCTTGTGCTTGTTAGCTGCCACTCATATCATTTCCTGTGCATACATACAGAATGCCACAGTGTAGAGGACATTCAGAACTTTCCCCGTCACGTCATGTTCCCGCAGCCGGTCTTGTTCCTCGGTGTCCATCTTGTGCTCATTAGTGTTTTTACAGATGGCCCGCTGGTTATGAAGAAGTGTCTAGCTAATTGGTGTGTGTTTTATCTGCTCATTATCTGTTATTGATGTGGCCACGGACATCTTCTTCAGTCTGTTGTCATCATAGACAATCCACTGACACATCTTCCTCTTATAATTAGTGGCGCACAGAGACAGTCGGCTGATAATGGCCAGACATGACAGAACCAACTCACATATGGCAGACAATTCTCATTTGAGCTTAGGAGTCGTCTGATTTTTACCTGTGTTTCATATTTTTTTTTTTTCTATGGTTGAACTGGATGGACTTTTGTCTTTTTTCAGACAGACTAACTATGTAACACGCATTGTCTATAGTTGTACCCTCTATGGCAGCCTTTCTCAAACTTTTCAAAACAGAGGAACTCTTGAAATAACTTTCCAGTTTCGGAACGCCTGCAAAAAATTACTGTATCTACAGCTCAAGATACATCAGTGTAAAGGTCAGTGGGAAGAATGCTCCTTGCACTTGTGGTCATTGGGAAGAATTGACTACCATACAGGTAGGCGAAAAAGATACTACCATACAGGTAGCTAAAAAGATCAATGGTGTCATTGGGAACTTATCTGAGAGGCAGAAATAGTTCATGGCACAAGCAAATAAGAAATGTTACCCCTGGCAACCCCTGGAGGATATATAGTACAATAGATCGCTCTATGATGAGTATACCCACATAAGCAGCCAACACAATATTGCAGGTTACAATACATAGAAAAAAAAGAATAAAAAAGTGCAGCGCTAGATTTAAACTTCCAAGGACATACTAAATATAAAAAAAGTCCAGTCCAAAAGGCTTTAACGTGTGGAAGAAAAGTTCATCAATCAAGGACCCAACAGATTCCCAAGAGATCACCAAGAGGAAAAACTCCTTCTCCAACACCAATCACACTGCCTCTTACCAGATGATGTTGACCCCCCAAAAAGGAAAGTCCAATCCAAAAGGCTTTAACGTGTGGAAGAAAAGTTCATCAATCAAGGACCCAACAGATTCCCAAGAGATCACCAAGAGGAAAAACTCCTTCTCCAACACCAATCACACTGCCTCTTACCAGATGATGTTGACCCCCAAAAAGGAAAGTCCAATCCAAAAGGCTTTAACGTGTGGAAGAAAAGTTCATCAATCAAGGACCCAACAGATTCCCAAGAGATCACCAAGAGGAAAAACTCCTTCTCCAACACCAATCACACTGCCTCTTACCAGATGATGTTGACCCCCAAAAAGGAAAGTCCAATCCAAAAGGCTTTAACGTGTGGAAGAAAAGTTCATCAATCAAGGACCCAACAGAAATCCAACAGATTCCCAAGAGATCTCCAAGAGGAAAAACTCCTTCACCAACACCAATCACACTGCCTCTTACCAGATGATGTTGACCCCCCAAAAAGGAAAGGTCAATCCACGCTGTGTGCTTCCTAGAAGACAACAATGAACTTGTACACTTTAAGACTCCTGGTCTTCAATGCAAAATGTTCCTTGTCATAATCTCACAGGGCGTCCTCCCTGATCAACACTCTGCATTGAAGACCAGGAGTCTTAAAGTATATAAGTTCATTGTTCGCTTCTAGGAAGCACACAGCGTGGATTGACCTTTCCTTTTTGGGGGTCAACATTATCTGGTAAGAGGCAGTGTGATTGGTGTTGGTGAAGGAGTTTTTCCTCTTGGTGATCTCTTGGGAATCTGTTGGATTTCTGTTGGGTCCTTGATTGATGAACTTTTCTTCCACACGTTAAAGCCTTTTGGATTGTTTCCTTTTTGGGGGTCAACATTATCTGGTAAGAGTGTGATTGGTTGGTGCTTCTAGGTAGGGTGCACCGAAATTTCGGTGGCCGAAACTGTTCGTCTGAAAACACCCCTGTCGTACGATAGGAAAAAAAGCACCGATACAAGTGCTGAAAAAAACCCCGTCCCTTCGCCACTGCCGACCCTTGCTAGTTCTCAGCCTTACCTGAGAAACCATCGAACGATCCCAGCGCTGGGCATAGAGATTAGTGAAGAAAAGATGGCCTCCACTTATCTCTATGCCCTTGGAGGACTGGAGGACTTGCGATCATTTTTTAATTTTTTTAAAGCACTAGATCAATGCTTTTTTTTGATCTAATGCTTTACATTGTAGAGGAAAGATGTTGGGGTCTTATTGACCCCATTGAGGTCCTTCACTAATTATTTCTATCGCAACGGATGCATGCATTCCTTGTGATAGGAATAAAATTGTTTATTTTTTTTTAAAGGGACAGTGCCCCCCCCCCCCCCCCCCCCCCCCCCCCCCCCCCGTGCTCGCATGTAGTGGTGAAAGCAGACGTAGGCCACGCCCACATATGTAAACGGTGTTCAAATCACACATGTGAGGTATTGCCATGAATGCCAGAGCAAGAGCAATGATTCTCGCACTAGACTTCCTCTCATATTACACTGCTAACCTGTAGAAATTTTTAAAGCATCACCCATGGAGATTTTTAATTACTGCGGTTTGACGCCATTCCATGAGCGTGTGCAATTTTAAAGCGTGACATGTTGGGTATCTATTTACTCGTCGTAACATATTCTTTCATATTTTACTAAAAAATTGGGGTATATATTGTGGTTTTTTGTTTTTTCAATCAAAGTATATTTTTTTTCCAAAAAATATATATTAATTTTTAAAAATGCGCTTTTCGGTTTTCGACCAAGTGCATTTTGGATTTTCTGCTTCGGCACCAGAATTTTCATTTCAGTGCACCACTACTGATCTCTTGGGAATCTGTTGGATTTCTGTTGGGTCCTTGATGGATGAACTTTTCTTCCACATGTTAAAGCCTTTTGGATTGGACTTTTTGTTCTGTTTAGTATGTCCTTGGAAGTTTAAATCTAGCGCTGCACTTTTTTTTATTCTTTAACCTCTGGAGGAACCCTAGGCTTCCATGGAAGCCAGATTGAGAAACCCTGGTCTATGGTGTCTCCCTCACCATCAGCTATTAATTATTGAATGAAAAAGACCTAGAGTGGACCATGTATATATTCTTATTAAATGAAATGGCTAACCTGGTGACTGGGGAGTTTGCTTTGGGCACAACTGATGGCCCAATTTGGAATTTATTACTAAATAAACTCTTTCAAGCATCCCACTTCACTCACTCAGGACAATGGCCATTGGTTGATGCACAGACAACTGAGGAGCAGAACGGAGAGTGGTGACTGACAGTCACTGTTCTCCCGAGGAGCAGACTGAGATCTGAGCATTCAGTGGTCATGTGATTGCTCAGATCTTCGTCTTAGATCAGACATGGGACAGCTGCAGCATTACACATCATTGAGGTGAGTATGGATGTTTGTTTTTAACATCCCATACTTCTTTAATTTAGAGCTAAATCGCTAGGTGCTTAAAGTAGAACTACAGGCAAAATTTTTTGTTTCATTTTGAATGGAGTAAAGGAGGGTTATAACCCCTGTCAAATTTTGTTTCACCATCTGGGTCCCATTGGGGAGATTTCCCTTCACTTCCTGTCTCATAGCCAAACAAGTAAGAGGACATACAAAAAATGGCCACTGCCCCAGTCTATAACTGGCCTTCACAGCAAGGAGCGCATGGAAGGGCGACGCATGTCAAACAACAAAAGAAAAATTCCCAGCTCTAACTTGCCAACCAGCCTGCAAACAAACCGAATTAACCTAACAATATGTGCGTAAAAACGGGTTTAGTTAGCACACATTTGCAAACACATGCGTAAACTACAGAGCCTCGTCACGGCACCCCAGTAATCTGTAGTTCCTAACTCTCCAATTTTAAGAGCCCCCATAGTAGAGGCATATGTATTTATTGGATAGACCAAGGGCAGGTGAACCTGAGGGAGCCCACCCCTCCTTAAAAGCACAGGAGCGCACTGGACACCCAGCATGTAGCACAATGGCAGCTAAGATGTCCAGTGCACCCCCTCCACCAACAATTCAACAGTACAAAAAATGGCCGCTGCCCGAGTCTATAACTGGCCTTCACAGCAAAGAACACATGGAAGGGTGACGCATGTCAAACAACAAAAAAAAATTCCCAGCTCAGCTTGCCAACCAGCCTGCAAACAAACCGAATTAACCTAACAGTATGTGTTAAAAACAGGAATTTAGTTAGCACACATTTGCAAACGCATGCGTAAGCTGCAGAGCCTCTTCATGGCACCCCGATGTTCTGTAGTTCCTAACTTTCCAATTTTAAGAACCCCCATAGTAGAGGCACATGTATGTACTGGATGAGTGAGAGGAAATTCCTATAAATTAACTGAATTCCTTGCCAGGTCACCAGAACTAGTGTCCCCATTGGAAGATTTCCCCTCTGTTGCTTTCAATAATAATTGGTAAGGGGACAAATAGAGCTGGTGAGTCTCCTTAAAATGATAATAAAGTCTTTTTATTTATTTTTTATTTTTTAAATAACATACATGTTATACTTACCTGCTCTGTGCCGTGGTTTTCCACAGAGCAGCCTGAATCTTCCTCTTCTCGGGTTCCCCGCCGGCGCTCCTCCCTCCTGTCAGGTGTCACCACAGCAAGCAGCTTGCTATGGGGCCACCCAAGCAGAAACGTATTCGAGCAGGGGTGTCAAACCGGCGGCCCTCCAGCTGTTGCAGAACTACAAGTCCCATCATGCCTTTCCCTTGGTGAGTCATGCTTGTAACTGAATCTTGCAATGACTCATGGGACTTGTAGTTTGGCAACAGCTGTAGGAGCCAACATCCAGCTCTGTACTATTAATTTTTTTATGTGATTCCCCAGGGGTGGTGTATGGGGTTTATAGCTATAGAGTGGAAGGAATATGAGGTTGGAAAGGAGCGAGAGCTGCCAGCAAACTAATCGGGGATCATTTTCCACAGAAGGGTTAAAAAAAAAAAAGTTTTAGAAAAAATATTTACAAGGGTTAAAAAAAATGTGGATTGCAATCCTAGATTGTAAGCTCCCAGGATCAGGGCCCTCCTATCCCTCTTGTATTGATCTGCATTGTTGCTGTATTGTCTCCCGTTATATTGTACAGCGCTGAGCAAACTGTTGGCGCCATAAATCCTGTATAATAATAATAATATAAATCTTAAATAATAATATAAATCCTGTATAATAATAATAATAATAATAATATAAATCCTGTATAATAATAATATAAAATCCTGTATAATAATATATAAATCCTGTATAATAATAATAATAATATAAATCCTGTATAATAAAAATAATAATTATATAAAATCCTGTATAATAATAATAATAAATCCTGTATAATAATAATATATATAATCCTGTATAATAATAATATATAAATCCTGTATAATAATAATAATATATAAATCCTGTATAATAATAATAATAATATAAATCCTGTATAATAATAATAAATATAAATCTGTATAATAATAATAATAATATAAATCTTATCCTGTATAATAATAATAATAATATATAAATCCTGTATTAAATAATAATAATAATAATAATATATAAATCCTGTATAATAATAATATATAAATCCTGTATAATAATAATAATATATAATAAATCCTGTATAATAATAATAATATATGAACATAACTCTGTTACAGGTGATATGTTTGTGATGTGTCGCTTCTACAGACAATGCTGATAATGTGATGCATCTGGGGGTCACGTGTACCCCCCCCCCCCCCCCCCCCCCCCCCCACCTTACCAACTTCACAAATACACACAGATTCATTCACTGTCAAATTACTGCTAAATAGCTAAAATCCCACTTAATTCCCATGCAACGCTGAATATTAATGGCTCAGCAGGTATCAGCCGAGGCTTTTATTTGTCATTATAAAAAGCAGTGGAGCTGTGTTGTCTCTGGGTTTATCCGAATCTTTCCGTCTTCTTGAGGGCGTTAAGCTATCTGCTACGACCTTAAAAACCTCCCAATAACAATAATCCTGACATTTTCTTCTGAGTACAAATGCAGGTCTGGTCAGGAATGTAAGAGATGGAAGTTAAGTATACTTTGAGTGCGCTTCTATCCCTCTCTGGGTCTTCTTCTCTTGCATTTTGTAGTAGAACATTTTTTTACCGCCGATATTCACAGTATGGACTACCCGACCCTGCACAACAACTCTTCAAATTCTTTACAGTCCTACAATTTGTCCCTGGGGCATATGCAGCCCCAACTTTGTTCGCTCTTCACTTATTCTTTTAACGACTTTCCGACCGCCCACAGCCCGGTTACGGTGGGCATCATGTACAGGCAAAGCGACGTACCCATATGCCATTTTGCCAGCACTGATGCTAAGCGCAGCGCACCGTAGGCAGGGATCAGGGGAAGGTAAAGGCCAAGGCACGGAAACAGGCAAAGCGACGTACCCATATGCTGAACTCAGCGGCCAGACTCATCCACCTTACCAACCGCTCCGCATCTGCCACCCCCCCTCTGTCATTCCCTCCACTGGCCTCCACCCCCCCCCTCTGTCATTTCCTCCACTGGCCTCCACCCCCCCTCTGTCATTCCCTCCACTGGCCTCCACCCCCCCTCTGTCATTCCCTCCACTGGCCTCCACCCCCCCTCTGTCATTCCCTCCACTGGCCTCCACCCCCCTCTGTCATTCCCTCCACTGGCTCCACCCCCCCTCTGTCATTCTCTCCACTGGGCTCCACCCCCCTGTCATTCCCTCCACTGGCCTCCACCCCCCTCTGTCATTCCCTCCACTGGCCTCCACCCCCCTCTGTCATTCCCTCCACTGGCTCCCGATTGCCCAACGCATTAAATTCAAACTACTAACACTGACATACAAAGCCATTCATAACGCCGCCCCAAACTACCTCACCGACCTGATACCCAAATACCACCCAACCCGTGCCCTTCGCTCCTCACAAGACCTCCTACTCTCCAGCTCCCTGGTCTCCTCCTCCCACGCCCGACTGCAGGACTTCTCCAGAACTTCCCCCATCCTCTGGAACTCCCTACCCCAATCCATCAGACTGTCACCTACCCTCCTCACCTTTAGGCGCACCCTGAAAACCCATCTCTTCAGGGAAGCCTACCCCGCCCTCACCTAACAGCCGATCTCCTCCTACCACTCCATCCCCCACAGCCACTTCCTCCTGTACCACCTTCCCCTCCCTCCTAGATTGTAAGCTCGAAAGAGCAGGTCCCTTGACCCCCTCGTGTATTGTATTGTTACTGTATTGTCTCATGTTCTGTCCCCCCCCCCCCCCCCCCCCCCCCCCGCTACTGTACAGCGCTGAGCAAACCTTTTAGTGCTATATAAATACTGTATAATAATAATAATAATAATACGCCATTTTGCCTGTACTGATGCTAGGCGCAGCGCACCCAACCTCGCTATGCAATCACATAATCACAATGTCAACAAAGCTGTTGTGAATGAATTCCATCCATAACGGCTTTGCTTCTGGTACTAGTGAGCTGTGATTGGCCCATAGGTATCGCCAATCACATCACCCCTGTACCATGTGATTAGCTGTCATGAGGTTTACCCATTCATGACACGTCATAGCATTGCTGGTGCAATGATCTTCATTGTAGCTGCAATCAAAGTGTAAAAACAAAATCCCTGATTTCCCCCCCAGCCCAGAGCAGTACAGTGTTACTATGGTAGCATTGGACTACTCTGATGAAAATATTTTATAAAATAGTAAATAATGTAAAAAAAAATTTAAATATTGAATAAAAATGATTTGTTTTTTAACATGCTGTCACCGGTCAGTGTCCCTAATCACCGCCACACCAGTGATATCATGATGCTGTACCCTGCTGGTGACAGTATGTGAAAAAAAATGTATTTAATTTCTTAATTTTCCAAAAAATTGTTATTTCAATAAACTCGCCATGCCTCTTGCTAAATACCTCAGACTGTCCCGACATTTGTGGGGGATTTGTACTGTCCTGACATTTGGGGGGGATTTGTACTGTCCTCGACATTTGGGGGGGATTTGTACTGTCCCGACATTTGGGGGGGATTTGTACTGTCCCGAACATTTGGGGGGGATTTGTACTGTCCCGACATTTGGGGGGGATTTGTACTGTCCCAACATTTGGGGGGATTTGTACTGTCTCGACATTTGGGGGGGATTTGTACTGTCCCGACATTTGGGGGGGATTTGTACTGTCTCGACATTTGGGGGGGGATTTGTACTGTCTCGACATTTGGGGGGGATTTGTACTGTCTCCACATTTGGGGGGGATTTGTACTGCCCCGACATTTGGGGGGGGGGGGGGTTTGTACTGTCCCGACATTTGGGGGGATTTGTATTGTCCCCACATTTGGGGGGGGGGGGTTTGTACTGTCCTGACATTTGGGGGGATTTGTACTGTCCCGACACTTGGGGGGGGGGATTTGTACTGTCCCGACATTTTGGGGGGGGATTTGTACTGTCCCGACATTTGGGGGGGGGGGATTTGTACTGTCCCGACATTTGGGGGGGGGGGGATTTGTACTGTCCCGACATTTGGGGGGGGGGGGGTTTGTACTGTCCCGACATTTGGGGGGGGGATTTGTACTGTCCCGACATTTGGGGGGAATTTGTATTGTCCCGACATTTGGGGGGAATTTGTACTGTCCCGACATTTGGGGGAGATTTGTACTGCCCCGACGTTTGGGGGGGATTTGTACTGTCCTGACATTTGGGGGGGGGGGGGGGGATTTTTACTGTCCTGGATTTTTACTGTCCCAATATTTTAAGGGCCTCAATTAAATTAGATCAGCCGTCAGTACATCAGGATTGATCGATTTTCGCTATAACCTTTCTGCAGACTAAATAATTTACACTTATTGGAACTTGTTTTGAAGTGTTTTTTCTTATAAGATTTTGCAAATAAATAATCTTTCTTCATAAATATTCGCCAAACTTTATTCAGTTATCTTTTTTTCTTTTTAGTAAAAAAAAAAAATGACCCAAATTAGTTTATAACCAAAAATTATAATTTTTCTAATTTTTTTTTTTTTACATTTTTATTTTATTTTTCTATATTATTATTTATGGGTTTTTTTTTTTACATACTGTAACCCTAGCAGTACAGTGTCACCATAGTGGGGGATTATTATTTATTTTATTTTTTTTACACTGATTGCTTTTACATCCATAAAGGCTGTAAAAGCAATCATTTCTCCTTCTCTCTGGCTGCATTCTTGCAGCCATTGAGAAATACTGTGTGAGCTGTGATTGGTCACAGCTTGTCACATGGTACAAGACTGTTGTGAATAGCCCTGTACCATGTGATCTCTGTGATCATTCACAGATTTCACACGTAGTAAGCAATGATGTCAGAAGTGACATCTTGCTTACTACTCTTCATGTGATCACTGATTGGCCAATCAAGGATCACAGGATCGGGACCTCACCCAGAGGTCCCGTACAGCGATCGGTGTTCCACTGTGTCCTCCGGACACAGCGGGCACCGAATCGCGGTGCTCGCGCTCCCAGGGAGCGCGCACAAGCAGGAATCAGGGAGGACGTTTATAAAACGGCCCCCTGCACTGCTCCCCGTCCGGCCCATGAATATAAACGGTGGTTAAAGCGACGCTTTAGTCTAAATGTAAAAAAAAAATGTCAGTGGTTACAACTGCAGCTGATAACTTTTAAAAAACAAAACACTCACCTGTCTCTTGGTCCAGCAGTGTCGTCACTGGAGCCGGTGTCACCGCCCGTCTGCTCTCCCCATCTTAACTGTGGGAACTCAGCTGTGACGGTTTGGGTGCCCACT